TAACGACTTTAAAAATTTATCACATCATTAAATATAAACAATTTTCAATGCAAATATCAATCTTGCCATAACAGTTTTAATAAAAAAAAATTTTTTTGTTGAAAAAACCCACTTATCGTTCCAAGTGGGTTTTTTCAAGGTGGGCCCACCCAATAAAACCCGGGCGGGTTTTTTCAAAGTGGGCCCACTTGGCGAACCCTGAAACCATGTGATAATAAATCCCGATATGAGGCTTTTAAATCAAGTGAATTTGAAACTCTACATCCAATTTAAAAAATGCGCAAAATACAAATCAGGATGCGTACTTTTTAGATCACGATGCATAATTTTTAAATTGCGCGATATTACAACCGCAAAAACGAATCACGACATTGGATTTTAAGCTCACGCAGCTACATAGGGTTTTAAAAGCTCGTAAATACAAATCGCGATATTGGCTTTTTAAATCTCGTAAATAAGAATCGCAATGTACAATATATAAATCGCCTGAATAAGAATCGCAACGTTCAGCTTTTAAATCAGGTAAATACGAAAATCGATGTTTGATAATAAAATCGCAAATTTAAAAATACATAAATACAAAACACGATATTGGATTTTTAAATGTCGTAAATAAGAATCATAATGTACGATATTTAAATAGCGCAAATAAGAATCGCAACGCGCAACTTTTAAATCAGGTAAATACGAAAATCGATGATTGATATTAAAATCGCGTGAATAAAAATCGAGTTATTTGCAGAGTCTGGACTTGAAATTTCTAAAAGGCTTGTTTGTATTGCTTTTGTTTAGACATAATAAATAAAAATTTACGAGATATTGAATGAGCAAATAAATATTTTCACCGCAAATCCACCTATATTTCTTTTTTTTTGTTTTCATGCCAGAATACAAGAAGCAGCGACGTCTGAATTACGAAAATACGAGCTATCCCGCCGACGGATAAAAAATACGGAAAATCTTATTTTCTGTGCGTGAAAAAAGCGGGATATTTATTAAAAAAAAAACGCATCTTTTAGAGAATCGGAGTTTTTGATAAAAAGGTTGAAATTCGAGAGACAAAAAGAATCTCATCCCTGTATAAAGGACAACCAGTTTTATCCCAAGGAAATGATTTTTAGAGAAACTTCAGAGGGAGGAATAAAGACTTCAGTAATTTCGCTCTGTGGAAAATTAAATTCCTCATAAAATATTTTAACTTGTGAAAAAAAAAAAAAAAAAAAAAAAATTTCAGCGGAAATCAGCGGGAAAAATGGAAAAAAAAGCGGAAATCCGCGGAAGAATCTCATCCCTGATAAATAAATGCTAATGATGTTCTTAAATAAAATGTTGATTAAAATAATTTTTTTTAATAATTTAGATAACTTTGAGTAATTGTGCATAAGCAGGATTTTATGTATCATTTAAAAAAACATTTTCTTAATGGTCAAAGGACCTTTATGGACTTTCTCATCAGTTCTTTGTTTTTTCGATGGTCTTTTATCGACATGACTGATCTGTAGACTGCGTTTTGCAGACTTTTGATCATCAGTGTTGATAGGACAAGAAAGTTCATTCCTCACAAAATTTTTAGAGGCCTTAGATTAAGAATCGCGATGCTTGATTTCAAAATCACGTGAATAAGAATCGCGATGCTTGATTTTAAAATCGCGTGAAAAAGAGTTGCGATGTCGGATTTTAAAATCGCGTGAATAAGGCGATATCGGATTTTAAAATTGCGTGAATAAGAATCGCGATGTTCGATTTCTAAATAGGGTGAATAAGAATCGCGATGTTGGATTTTAAGAGTGCGTGAATAAGAATCGCGATGTTGGATTTAAAAATCGCTTGAATAAGAATCGCGATGTTGGATTTTAAAATCGCTAGAACAAGAATCACGATATTGAATTTTAAAAGCACGAAATACAAATCGCAGTATTGAATTTTTAAATCGCGTAAATAAGAATCACGATGCATAATTTTTTTGAGTCCGTGAATAGTTATCGCAACGAGTAATGTTTAAACCGAGTATAAATTCGAATATCGATGTTTGATATTACAACCGCGTGATAACGAATCGCAATATTGAAATTTAAAAATATAGATGAATACGAATCGCGACATTGGATTTTAAACTAGCGGGAATATGAACCGCAATATTGGGTTTTAAAAACGCTTAAATACAAATCGTGATATTGAATTTTTAAATTGCGTGAATGGAAATTGATTTTCAACAAAAGAAAAAAATTTTCAACAAAATATCATTTACTGCATAAAAAAATTTTCCGTGCGGAAATTTATGAAAAAAGAACAGAAGATATGGAAAAATCTGAAAAAAGCGGATCCGCGGAAGAATCACATCCCTGTATAATACATTTTTAACATCTATTTTTTAAAGCATTGAATATTTTTGCTGCATCATCATAGAAGATTTTGCCTTTACTAGGTATTTGTCCATCTTACATTAGCGCATAAAAAAATTTGAACGTCTTACATGAAAAACCATACCTACAGTAAACACGTGGTTGCAGAGAAATGTGTTCTGAAAGGGGTTCCGTGGTTCGGAGGGGTTGTGTTCTGTTGTTCGAAAAGGTTCTGAACAATGCCTACTGGTAAATAGGGAAGCTGGATAACGGGGGCAAGTGTTGAAAATAATGAAGATCCAGGAAGAAAAGTGAAACGGATTTTATTCTAAATGACGTAATTCGAAGCTTTTTCCAAAATACGAGAAATTCGCGAATTTTGAAATTGATTTATAGAATGCGCGAATTTCTCGCGGTAATAATTTTTTAATGCGAGAAAAGAAAAAATATGTGAGATTCTCGCGCTGTAGTGAAAACACTGCTTAATGTTACAACACATATTACACGGATGAGTAAAATAGTCCACAGTAACTAATTAGCTTCATAAATTGAATAAAAATATCTTGGGAATAAAAAATAAATTATTTTTTGTAAAAATCAACTTGCTTCCAAATTTGTGCTTAGATCACGAACACTTTGGTAAAAACACATTCTTTTAAAAATAAATATAACTTAAAAAATATTTGAGGAAATTCTTTCATACTTTTGGAGTTGAATACAAAAATTATCAAAATACAATTAAAACTAAAACAGTAAATTTTTTTAGGATGATATTTAACTGCCAGTAACGAAAAAAATCAACTCTAAATCTACTACCTTATCACAGCTTATTCCAAAACTAACTTTTAAGTTAATATAAATCCAAGAATAACGCTCAGTATTTCTTAAATCAAAATGCAATACAATTAGCATAAATTATCTGCATTGAAAAATTGTGGGATTGAACGAAATTAGGCGATATTATCTACAAATCCCTAATGAAAAAGCTAAATTCCGATATGTCAGAAATAAAGTTTAATCATAACAAATGTTTTACTAACATTAACAAGCTATACTTTTTAAAATTGAGAAACAAGCATTTATCTAAAACAAGAACCCATTCATATATTTATCCTTATCTAACACACAGAACCTATGCTAAGCATTTGCCACTTCACCAAATGCGATAAAATCGTAAATTCTGCAACATAATTGCGTTTTGGAAAAAGCATTGACAAACGATTTCTATCTACCTAAAAGAAAACCATAAGTCCCTCTTAATCTTGAAAATTATGCCAATATAAATTTTTTCAAACAATCCATTTTGTTCTATAAGTTATTTTTGAAATATATGATGCATAACTAAGTAGAATTACATTACGTATAGATAATATAAGAAACAAAAATGTTAGTTGCTGGATCATGCAATATCATATGACGTAACTCTTCCCTACAGTTTGCATCAAAATTGTCCAGGTGCATATTATAATCAAACCATCTTTGCAGAAAATGTGTTTTCTCGTGACAACATTGTTTATTAAAATAAATTTATTGTCACACTTAAAATGACTTTTTAATATCTACTTATTTAGAACAGACAATTAATCTTATTTCTTTTCCTCATAGACAATAAAACATGAACATTTTTCCTCCTCTCATTCCCAACCATAAAATAATTCTTAATTTCAATTTATAAAATATTTGCATTATATAAACAAGTTCAGTAATATTTTGATTTAAAGCTTTCTACGGAAGAGATTAATCATAAAAATTTTGAAATTTAGCTAATACTTATTGTAATTGGCTAATAATTTGAAGTCCTTAGCTCTGAACAAATCTTCCTTACTTTTAAAAATCCATGTAAACATCAAATCAGGGCCCTTAATTTATAGTACCACTACAATATTTTGATTTTCGACCACACAGAAAGCTCTATCGTGCACTTATTTACTTACCTACAAGACCAGACAATTCAATATAAAATTCTTAAATTAAAAATAAAACTACATATTTACCCATAAAACCTGATGGAAAATTCTTGTCTGTCCTCACTTTACCATCAACTTTAATTAATCTTTGCATCACAATCTTTGTTACTTCTGCATTTGTAAGAGCATACTTTAATCTATTTCTAATCATAATTATCAAGGGCAGAGATTCCCTTAGTTTGTGAGGTCCTGTGCTTGGACGAGGTGCCTGAAATTTATAAACAAACTATAAACAAAGACAGGAAATTAATACAAACAATATTGATAATGAGTATTCAAAATGAATATTGAATTTGCAGTGGTCAGCTGTTATAAATCTAGGTTAAGATAAAATATCTCAAAAAGAACTAATCAATGTTAAAAAAAATTACTCAACAGAGCCTGGTATGGTCAGATATTAGTATAAACTAAACATTGCGACAGCCTGTAGAGGGCCAAGAACTACTGTACCCATCTCAGTTCTCTTGACCTTGGGCTCTGGGGTACAAGATAGAACATATATTAGTATACTTGACATATAATACAGGCAAGGTATATGACACTGGGCGTCCTATTTGCCTTTTGATTTCTGTTCTACCTGCCCTCTGGACCTAATCATGCTCCTTAATAAAATAGAAGCATACTAGTGCCGATTGTGGTGTGATTAAACATCCATGTGGCTTTCCAGCAGTATTCATTAGTTTTTCAGCCACAATTAATTCACTGTTTTTTTTTTTAAATGCATCATTATGGTGTTTTAAATTCCAACATACAGATATGCCAACTGCTCAGGACACGCCAAAACAATAAAATAAAATTGTAAATAACTACAAAGTAAATTTTACAAAAATTTGACTAATTTTGGTTGCTTTCTAAAAGATTTACAAAGTGGTGAATTACATAAGCCTACGAATTATTTAGAAATAGTGGTGGAAAAAAAAATCTAAATTGAATTTATTAAACTAAGAATCACAATTGATAAACTACTACCTTAAAATATATATTTGCTGTCCGGAACAAGTGGGATCTCTGAACATATACATAAATTCGTGACAGGCACATTCCAAACTCTGAGCATCAAGCTATCACTTTGAAGCGGTCAATTCAAGATAACTGATCTGTAGGAGCAACTTGCTCAATTCGGAACAATCTCATCTTAAATTTCAATTTCTTTATGGTTGTATTTTCAGAAGCTGTTAGTAGTCCTTTGAGTATTTTCTTGCATTTTTTTCAATCCTAACATTCCACTAGCGAATATCTAATTTCAGTAATAACTTTTGCACACTATTATAAACGCAACGTTTCCACTGAAAACTTACACCAATGTCTGATCTTTTATGGTTGTTATTATAATTATTCGTTTTTTACCAGTTGTTTCGAGATTTTTCGGTTTAATTTCAAACGGCAGAAAATAAAATCCGATATTGAGAATCGCATGTAAAATTCAACAGAATCGCACACAAGAGCGCAAGAATTTCACCATAGATGCATAATGATTGGCGTTTATACATGCTACAGAATGACAGTAAGCTGAAATGCATTGTGGTTGAATGAATTATGAAAATATAGAATAGAGCAATGTTGAAAACACACTAGTGGCATAATTCATGGCAAAAATAAGTCATGGTAAAGAAAGAATGGACATGGTATTTAGAATAAATCCATCTTTAACACACATACTTATGTCATTCAGAATAGTTAGAAACTTTTACTTGCATGTTAAATTGAAATGTTAAATAATGTATAAGCATATTCAAATTTCTCAATTATTTTTATCCATATACGCCTGTTCTTCGATAAAAAGTGGACATATTGTAATACATATTAACCAACTAAAATTTTCAATCTTACTTGAAAATAGCTTAAAAATACTTTTGATTCAGAGGAAAATGTAGGTACTATTTATGTTTTAATGTAATCATAATATATACTTGATCTTAAACAAAACAAACTGGAAACAGCGATAAATTAGTCTCAGATTAATTACTCAGTGGCCAAATGTGACAACTTCACACTAGAAAATCTACTTCATTCTAACAGAATTCAGCAACTGTTAAATAAAGCCAAAATGTTTATACTACACAGCATTGAATTACATTTTAAAACATTTGCCATTTTAATAAAACTATTCTACAAATATATACGAAACTATGTCATCTAGACAATAACGGACATGTGTAAAAACGACGACAGAAATGAAAAAATTAACCATATAGGCAACATCATGAGATTTAATATTTCGTACTATGTTTTACTAAGTTAAGTTCATTTCAATCATCCTAAAATTGAGATACATAAAGTAATAAATCAAAATGTACTTACGAATACACCTCCTAATTTGTCTAACATCCATGATTTTGGGGCTTGAAGCCGTTTTAAATGTTTCTTTGGACCTCGAGCCTAAAATATAGAATCAGTATACTGTTAATATATAAACTTAAACGATGAAACAAGAAAAAGAAATTAAAAGTAAGTTGGATTAAAACTGAAAATAGCAAAAATTACTGTTGCTCAGAATTAGTAACAGACATCAGATTAAGAAAAAGTATTATCTTAAGAATTTAATGCTATCCATGAATAACAATTTAAAAATTAGCAATTATACTATAGTAATTTAAAAAACAATATAAGATAAGGCAGGACTTAACCATTTCTTAAGTAAATTTTAACTCAAAATAGTGCAATCTTCTAAAACTATCGATAAGTCGAAAGGTAAATAAATATCACAAGAAGCGAAAATATTATTATTAACAGCTATTAAACATAACAACAAAAGCGAAGATCATAAATACAAATGATTAATAATCAAAATTTTAATAGATTATAACAGATTGTAATTAATAAACTGACGTACTCACCATGTTTAAAATGAAAACACGCAAGAGCTATATCGAGAAGATTTTTTGACCGCGACCGTATTACTTCTTCTCTTCCTCTTCACTTACCAGATGTTGATTTAGGTCTTTGGGATTTGTCATGCTTACATCAGTTGTACTTTAAATTTTTAAAATTCAAATACTATCGAATTCTGTGTGTAAATTTGATATTGTTTGAAAATACCGAAGTTAAATTTATGAAATAAATATGAGTATTAATTATAAAAAAAATTGATTCATTTGTTGTTCTTATAAAACATCTCAACTCTGTCTGCTTTCTGCAACCCCTCCCGTAAATTTTGCAAGTTTTGCATTTAAGTAAATTTTATTTTTATACTTATCTTGCTATTTTTGTCAATAAAGAACTGTTCTGTCCGGGGGTTAAGGTAATGATTGGAATTTCTCTAATTAAATTCATTAAGATCATTGCAGGCTATTTAATTTAACTGGCACTTGCGAAAGTGTTAAGTTTTGTTATATGAAGTTTTTAACATGTTTATATATGGTCATTATTATAGATCTATCAAAATGTATTTACGCGAAGAAAAAAAACGTGTTTTTGAACTCTTTTGTGTAAACTGCAACATATTTTAGTTCTATATACTAACCTTTTACTTCGAATAATACAACAAAATGTTTTATTTCTTTCAATTATTCTTCACCGACAGTTATTGATTGATATGTTATCAAAGTTTAATGACCCAGTTACTATTTTTAAATATGACGGGAAGTTTAAATTTGATGGAAACAATGCATTTATCTATTAAATAGCTTGGGGAATAGCTTTTTAAAGATACATTTAAGAATAATAGCTGATAATTGTCAAGATGTCTTGAAAGTAGCCAATAAAGAAAATTTCATGCCTTTTGAGTTACTGTGTTGAAATTTTTTATACATTTTAATAGCTTTTTTATGCATTTTAATGCGTTTTAATAGCGTTATTCAATTTCAGGAATGTAGACTTTGTTCATGTTCTTAATAACATGCAGTGCCCACTGGCACAAAAATGTTTTGGGGCTTTATAACGTGTCATAATGTTTAAATTCGAACTAAAAAGAACTTCACATACATAAAATGAAGCATTTTTAAAACTCTCAAAATTTTTTATCAAATTTAAACGCAATTTGATTAACCCATAAACTCGATGTACATAAAGCATACCTGCCAACTTTCACTCTTTCTGAGAATGAATTTTACAAGTGGTAGTAAAACATTATCGAAAAACAGCCTTACTCAAAAATATATTTATATTTTGACTAGGTTAAAATTCGCTATTGTAAAGATTAGTATGCTTTTATATATTTATTGTAATTATTTAAACGTAGTGGTGGTCAAACTCATTTATAATTAATATTATAATTCAAAAATTTTAATGACATGACATGAGTTTCGGTACCACTTTAAATACAAAATTAAAATCTTCTGGAAAAACCGGAAGAGTTGGCAGGTATGATAAAGTAAAGCATTCTTAAACTATGCATAACAAAAAGAAAAAGAAGCTTGATGCCAACCAGTTGCAATCCTCAGATTATGAAATAATTTTCAAAATGATGGAAGCTAATTGAAATTATTTTTTAAAAAAACATAAAGGTATAAGAAACCAAAAATAAAAAAATCAGGTATGAATTATTTTGTCAAACTAAACAGTTAGTAAAACATCTTTTAATGCACATCAGACATAACCAGTTTAATCATTGCTGTCCTATAGTGCTGTGTAATTCTAAATTCTTTCAATTATTGCTTTATTTAACTAATTTTAAATGCTAAACAGAGTCAGGGATGGTCAAGCACTTTCATTGACATCATGACTACTTGCTCACATTAATTTAATTTACATAGATATTTTTTCGAAAACACAATGATTTCTAAACATTACTTATTTGCGTTTATTTAAAGTGATGCTAATTTACTCCAGTAATTAAACTAAAAATTTTTGCAAAAATTTAATTTTTCTAAATTAAAAAAATATTTATGTAAAATATTATGTATTATTTGTTTAAAAGAATTCTTAAAAAAAAAATCATTTTATTTGAATCAGCCAGCTCAACTTTGCATTAAAATAATGTACTTAGAGGCATGAGAAATGAAATAACTTTTTCAATAAATACTTATCTGATTTCTTAATACTGTACTTACATCAAATAATTATTGTATGACACGGACATTAAAATGACAACACTAGCTGTCGGATATAAAAAAAATTTCTTTAACGAAAGAAGGCACATATTCCCTACAGGGTTGGAGTTTTTGCCGTCAAAAAGGGGTTTTTGCCAGGACAGTGGTAAAAACCGGCAAAAACCAAATTATCTAAATTGCTGATTAAATATTATTGCAAAATAATTTAAACAAATTTAAATCAATCATAAGGAATAATAATTTTGATACATTACATGAAAAAATTATTTTTAACATATTAATAATTAATATAAGGGTAATAATTTTTAAAAGATTGAAAGTTTTTGATCTCCTTTCATTTTAGAATCCTAAAATATGTTTTTTTACAAATAAATATTATTATTTGTATAATATTATTATTTATTATAAAAAATTATTATTTGTACAATAATTAACTACACATGTTGATAAGATATTTTATGCTTTAAATTATAGTTATATTAATTTAAAATAAGTTCATTTCACTGGAAAAAAGAGAATAATCACAAATTTTCCAATCAATAAGGTTTTAAACTACTAAAATGATATATTATTACATTATCATTTAATTATGGAATAATAATTTTGTTAATTTTTTTGTAATTATTTATATTCATAGTATATATTTCAATTTTAGATCAAAAATGTGTTTTTGTCCTCTCATCTTGGAAAATATAGGTTTTTGCCACTTTTTGCCAATTTGCTTGGCAAAAACCTGATTTTGCCAGGACGGTTTTTACCGGTATTTACCATGGTTTTTTCCACCTGCGGCAAAATCTTGCCAACCCTGATTCCCTATGGTAGAGGTTGTTCTCCATCAGTGGCCGCCAATATCTGTATAGTGGAAAATATCTAAATTCATTTTTGTTCGTATTGGCCGTTAATAAAAGTATGAAACAAAATGACAGTCTCCAGGAAATTCATATATAAATCGTTTAGTAAAAATCCAATTTATTAAACAATAATTCATGAAGATTATAAAAAATGGCCATCATATATAATTACAAATTATCAAAAATAAATCCCTTACAGGGATCAAGAAAATATAACTTCCACATTAAGTAGTTTTGTTAGCATTCCGTTACGATTTCATTTTTAAAACTGTTAGGATGGCTGGGACTGGAGAGCCCAAAGGGCACTCCTAGTCGCCACAAATTTTGAATACAATTGTTCCTAACGGACACAGAAAGTATGGGTAGGAGATCCAAAATTGGCAAATTATCAAAATATAACATAGCCAAAACAAAGACAACCAGCATATCAATATTGGGTTAAAAAAAAAACCTTGGCGATCATGAGTGGCCAACAAATTTATGAGAATTATTACAACCATGCAACTGGAACATTTAGCAGTTAGAAATTAGAATAAAAAGTTATAAATAGATTTTTGTTTTCGATTAGGCACGACAGCGAATTAATAAGTCTGCATTAGTAATGAAATAAAAAGTATCCGTTACATTGATGGATGCAAAAGAAGAATACATATTTTATGTTCATTTTAAAAGCTTAAGTCTTTGATTTATTTTAAATATAATTCTATGGATAAAAATAAACTTAAGTAATCAATGATATTTTAAAAGGATAGGAAATAAATATGTAATGCCAATTGTGGCATCACATTTCTTTTGTTTGTTAGTGTAATATATATTGAGGTTAAGAACTGAAACAAAAAAAATATCTTTTATTCAAATTGACTCTCAAAATGACAATAGTGATCAAAAATTTTACCTTGTATTTTTAAAATTTATGATTTGAAAAAGTTTGGAGAAAATTTTATTTCAGAGAGTTTCAAAATTTTATGAAGTAAAATGATGAGCAAATTTTGTTTTGCATAAAGTTGTATCTTATATTTAAATATTAATAATAAAACAAACTTAAAAAAACACTTGTAATTTAAAAAAAAAATTTTTTTAAGGAATTGCAGAACAAATGTTTATTTTTGCTGACAAGGAGTAAAGTGGTTTATTTATTTTTTTAAAAAAAGGAACAAAAATTTAAATAAAGAAAGAAATGAAAAATTTTGAAATAAGTCATATTTAGAAAAAGAAAAGTTTGGAGAATTAAAAAATTTAATTTCAAAGAGTTTCAAAATGTTATGAAATAAAATAATGAGCAAAGTTTGTTTTGCATAAAGTTTCATCTTTCATTTAAATATTAATAAAACAAACATTGAAATTTTTTTTTAAAGAATTGCAGAACAAATGCTTATTTTTACTGACAAGGGGTAAAGTGGTATATTATTTTTTTTAAAGTGTCAAAAAAAAGACAAAAAATTTAGATAAAATAAAAAAAGAAAAATTTTGAAATAAGTCATATTTAGAAAAAGTAAAAGTTTGGAGAATGAGAAAATTTAATTTCAAAGAGTTTCAAATGTTATGAAATGAAATAATAAGCAAATTTTGTTTAACATAAAGTTACATCTTTTATGTAAATATTAATAATAAAAATACTAATTAAATATGAGAAATAATATTTTATATCAATGTTTGTGCCACTCTTCAGACCTGGGGACTGAAATCAGTCTTGAGAATAGATCAGGAGATCAAATTTCCTCAATTGATATCTCTTTTCCATTTGTTCTTTAAATTAAAATTCAAGACCAAATGTTAATTTTATGCAAACATTTTATTTTTCTAGTTAATTTTATATAAATATTATATTTTAATGAAAACATTGTTATTTTTAATAATTATTTGCGAAGTGATTTAGTAATGATGTTGCACCTCAATGGAATTTATTGAACTTCAGCGCCTGCTTGCTTAAACAAAATTTGTACTATTGTTGTATCTACCAAAGTTGAGATTATTATTATTTTTTTTTAATTATAGAGATAGGACTAGAAATAAATTATGTTGAAGCAAAAAAAATTCGATTGATAAATCGCTTCATTAAGAAATTAGTGATTTATTATCCAGTGATAGGTGGAAAAAAATCTACAAGGTTGACTATATTTTTATCTCGTTTGCCGCAAAAAAATAAATGAACAAAATGAAGAAAAAAATCAAATCATTGATTTAATATTCATGCTATTTTTATGGAAATGTACATTTTGGAGTCAGTGAGTTATAATTTTCGGAAAATTCTGGTAAACAAAACTAGATTGTGTTAATTGGCCAGAAAATAAGTTCAGTCTTGAAGTATTTTTAGTGTGGTGCCTATGATATTAACATAGCTAAAAAGTAATTTGCAATAATTATGGTAATCTAAACTTCCTGGTCTGTGCTATTGAATCTTTTTTTTTTTAATTAAGTAAAAAAACAAAACATTTTTTTTTTTAATAAAAAAGGGGCAGTATTTTTACAAAAAAGGTAAGGAGGGTGTATTTACCTCTTGGAAAGGGTAGGCCACCCTTAAACATTTAAGAGAACACTGTTGATATTTCTTTCAGGTTGTAAAAAATCTGTTTCAAATATGAAATTATTTCTCAAATTATCTTATACCAAAAATTATTTACCAAATATATATAAAAAAAAATTACTAAAATATTAGTTTTTTTTTTAAAATGTGAAAGGAATTAAAAAAAAAAAAAAATTCTGCATTCTGCAATCTTTTTAACATTAAATATAAGTCTATTCCAACCTTCATTCATTATGTTTTTGTGTGTCTAAAGCTATTCTGTAATGTTTATGCAGACTGTTTATTGTCAAAATACAGTGTTTTCTTGGAACATTGAATCATTATGTTTTTTGGCAATATTTTGATTTTTTTAAGAACTTTGAGAAGTAAAATAAACCATTGATGGAGAAATCTGTTTCTCTTTCCCCTCAAGTGACATTGCATCATCAACTTCAAACAATTCTTTCTTTTGTGTAACTCTTAGGTTTCAGAACATTCTATGATAGCTTATATTTGGACCTGATCCAAAAGTTCACTTTTAAATCTCTGTTTCAAGTGTTTGTTATTTATTTTCACCACAGAAGGTTTTCAAAAATGCATGAATTTGTGTGGTAAAATTTTTTTAATACATATCCCATAAATTGTACTCTTAACATACTTTTAACGAAACTTAGAGTAAAAAAAAATTTCTTTAAAGCATAAATTATTTTTTCCTTGCCTTGCAATTAAGTAATTATAAAAATTTGGTTTAATTATTAATTTATGCAAATAATTATTTATATTGTGGATTTATTAATATTTTAATGTGGATGTGATTTGTGTTTAATGTAGAGATGTATTTTAATAACAGGATTGTATCCTGAGTAACCCCATTTAAGAAATGTTTTTCTATTTATTTATTTTATTATATTTATTTATTTACTTTATTTAATTAATTTATTTGATTTTAGTGATTTAGAACTTTGGTTTTGACAGTCCTGTTGTTTGGGTTTTTCTGAAAGAATTATTAGTCATCTAAAAATTGGAAATTGATTTTTATATAATTTTTAAGTTCTAAGCATTACCTACACAAAATATTATTTGGTATCATTATGATATTTCAGTCTCTATAATCAAAAAATAACTTTACAAACACAACATTCAGACAATTTCTTTTTTTATTTCAAGTTTTCCCTTGATTGTTCTTTTCTTCTTATATTATATTTTTGGAAATGCAAATATTTAATTGATAATCAAAATTTATTATTATTTTTTTTATTTTTTAATTTGACATTTCTAGATAAGGTTTTGACTGACACTGTGGATGTTTGACTTGATATCTTGTATGTAATTTAAGTTGATTTTAATTTTAAAAGGAAAACTATTGATCCAAATAAAAACTTACTCTCCTACTACCATGGATGCGCATAGTAAATTTATTTTTAAAAAAACTGCTATTTAAAGCAGATAGTGTATAATTCAGGTATTTCAATTTTCCCCTCATTATTATATTTTTCTGTATGTTTAATTTTATTTATGTGCATTGATGATGACTAATATGTAACTAATAAAAACATATTTTAAAATATGGCTGTAAAATGTCCCAAATATAGCATAAATAAATGCTACCTCTCACTAGTTAACATCATGCTATAAAATAGGTTCATTATAAGATATCTATTTTTTTCTTATTTCTATACTAAACTATGCATTACTTTTTCTTCTTCATTTTATCTCTTGATTAAAAGTAGAATCCCAATTATTCAAATATTTCCATGGTATCTCACTTATTTAAAAACGCTAATACTTTTCAATAACCAATATTCCACTATATCTTCCTTTACTATTAGTCCCTCAGTGGACTGATCGTAAATACACGTTTTCCAGTAGAACACCAAACTCAATCCTCCCTGGCTGCGATCAGTAAGCGGGTGGGTGATCACTTTGATCGACCTGCGTCGGGACCGAGGGTGTACGGTATTGGTCCTCGTTAAATTGTTCTACCATAAAAGGCTCAATTTCATGCCAGGGGTCTGTTTAGAAGAAATTTGGGTCCGTTAACGGACCCTTCACAAAATATCTCCATAAAAATGGACCCTTTACAAAATATTTTAACTTAAAAACGGACCCTTCACAAAATGATTTTTCTTTTAATCGGACCCTTCACAAATTTGTTTATCTTCATTATTATNTGTGCAGCTCTAGTGCGATGTAAATAAAATACCCCTGTGGCAGAATCGCTGCGACACGGCGACATTGTCGCAGAATGTTACAGAGTTCTTGCAGAATGATTTTTCTTCAGAAATTTTTTTTTTCTTTTCTACGTAATATTTGAATCATGTATTTAGATAATCACTTTTTGACACGCTCAATTTACGGCGATAGTATCGTAAATCGATGTAATGTTTTGATTGTTTTATCGCCAGTTGTTGGTATTGATTTTCACGTAGTTTTTAAATGTCCCGATATATTTCAAACTATATAGAAAATTCAAATCGTGCATTTGAGAATAGTCTTTTTAAGACAGTAATTCTATCGGTTTTTTGGCAGTTATTGCAATTGATTTCTCCATAATTTTAGACGATATTATTTATGACAACCTAATCTCGAAACAAGCATTTGAGGAGCCCAATTCGCGTAGTTTCGTCGTCGATCTTTTTTCCGGCAATTATTACTACGAGTTTCATGAATTTCAATTATATTTTTTATTGTGACAATTATTTACAAAATGTGATGAAAGAAATATTTTGTGTGTCCCTCCCCCACATAATGCGAGAATATCACCCATAATATTAGAATAAAAATTATTACATGCTCAATTTAAAAAAATTATATAGTTTTTTTTTGTAAACGCAGCACTTTTGCTTTTTTAAATTAGTAAAATATATGCTTGTTATTATTAAAAGTATCTTGCAGAAAGATATTAGTGCTAGAGTGTTTTGTCGCAGATAGTTCGAAAAAATTTTGCCACAGGGTAAAATACCTACCTACCTTTTTTATTATCAAAAATCATCTTTAGAGATACTGCTTACTTTATTAATTAAGATAATTCTTCTAGATCAATAGGCAAAAATGGCATTTCTTGCAACAAAACTTATGGGGAAGGAGGTGAGAGAGCTGGATGACAATGACATCGATGATTTGCTGGCATCTCTCACTGCTGAAGAATTAGAACAGCTGAGTAATGAAGTGGATCCTGATGTAAAGTTCTTAGATTAATAACATTATTCTGTGTTCATATGTCTTGCAAAACATTTATAATCAAAATTCTTGTTGCCAATTATTAGGTATAAATCTGTATCTGTGCTTCGTTATGTTGTAATTATTTTAAACGACTATTTAATTTTTCTCAATACAAATATTTTTATTCTATTTTTTATGTTTATATGGTGTTATATCTTTTTTTAAACTTATTTTGCAAAATTTTAATGCCATGCTGGACTTTTAATGTATTGCAGAGTAAAAAAAGATGCCCAAATCTGCCAATTTTAATCAAAGTTTGAAAAAAAAAATTTTTTTTGCTATATTTTTTTTATTTTGAGTAAACGAATCCCTATCATAAAATAGTAGCAGCTGAATAGGTATGTTTAAACTCTTTGTGTGTGCTGCTCATGTAAATAATGTCAATTTTTCTTATAAAAAAAAAAGAAAATCTTTATTAAAAAATATTGATCATATTGTTTTAAATTTGTTCTTGTAAAGTTCTTAATTTTTATTTTTATTATCTGTTGCCATTTTAATTTAAATGATCAGGCCTTTAATGTATTGTACCTATCTAAAAAATTTAATCTATATACTGTTCATATACAATGTTTTCAGGACTCATTGCTCCCCCCATCTCAAAGATGTAAAGATCAAACCAAGAAAGCACCTACAGGACCCCTTAATCGAAAAAAGCTCTTAGAATTTCTCGAAAGAACAGCAAGAGAACAAGAAGATTGGCCCGAAGCAAAGCCTTATGAAGCTGGAATTAAGCGAGGTAATAAATTAATATCTCAATTAATGCAAAATTTAAACATATTAATGCATAATATTTTAAAAAAGTATGATTAGAAATCTTATTAAATTATAATTTAATGTTTTTCAATTCCATATTTTTTGTGACATTTGTTCACAAGTAGCCTCATTTCAAAAATTGTTAATCCAGCATTAATAATACTAATTAATGCTGGTAATTTTATTTAGTCTTCATTAGATTTTGATTGTTCTTATTATCCATGATTAAAATCATTAGAATTGTACTTTTCTGTGGCCTTTTAAGACATTTGTAGCATGTTGTATATTAGTGATTTCTTTTTTCATTTTTAAAAATTATGATATGTCTTACTTCCCTATTAAGGATTATTTACTCTCCCTTTAAAGCTTATATCAATTCACTAATCTTAAAAATTCGGATCAAAAACTTAAAATTTTTGATGTTCCACATCCCATTTAAAATTTCAACCATATGCAAATAAACCAATAAAAAGACCCTCATTGCTATATAAGGTATTATGTCTATCTCTCTTTTTTTTTTTTTTTTTTTTTTTTTTTTTTTTTTNTTTTTTTTTTTACACTGAATCGAATGAAACCAATCTCTAAGTAATAAAACTAATAATTTAAAAGTTAAAAAGATTTTCTGAATAAAAAGTAAAATTTTGTATTTCTGCCTATTTCAACATCTGACTTTGCTATTTAAAAAGGTGAAACATTGCTTCGCATGAATTTACTTCATACAGAATTGAAAGAGAATAAACACACGTTAGTAAAATAAATAGTTCACAAGTTGCAAGTAATTTTCTGTGTAAAAAGTACTACTTTTGACATGTACTATGATATACATTTTATAATACTATCTAGTGGTTATGTAGACAAATAAGTAATTGTTTCGGATGCAATTTTTATTATCTTGAATCAAATGAAATCTTGTTGTTCAAGTGTTATAAAAGTTTTTATGTAAAAAAAAACTGCAGTTTTGTACTGGTTTAGCCTCAATCGATTCAGAGTCAAAAAAAAAAAAAATTTACATATGAAACAGTGCTTTATTTCTTTAGATAACAATATCAGATGTGTAAATTGTACTTTATATATTTGAAATCCGTATAACTTCTAAACTATTGGTTCTGTCATCTAAGAATTAATCTCCTTCAATGGGATTTTGATCTCCACATGGGATATAACACATCATATACCTAAATAGCAATGTGGATATTTTTGAGGATTTATTTCAAATTTTAAATGAAATGTGGAACCCCTAGACTAAGAAGTTTAATGTTTTGAGCCAAATTTTTCGATATTTTTATGTTTTAAAGAAAATTATTGTAAGGTTCAACCATATCAAATATCAAGGAAGAAAAGCAATTCTTTCTTTTTGTGCATGTGGTAAATATATTTAAAACACAGTATGTAAGAAAAGGTGATTAGTGCATGTAAGAAAATTACCATTTAATGCTGTAAAAAAAATTATGTGATAAGTAGATTTATTGTCTTAGACATTAGTATCACTGTATCATTTACTCAGTTTTATAATTTTTATCTTATAAAGCCTTATTGCTTTAATGCATTTTTAATTTACTTACTTATTATTGATTAATAATGTGTAATGAAATTAAAAATTACTTATACAGTGACCACCACTGATAAAATCACTAGATTCAAGGTCAATGATCATCACTCACTCAATCATTCATTATAGTAAATCTATCTTTAAAAGATGTCTGAAAAAACCTTGATATTTTAAAATTAACTTTAGAACAAAAGAAAAATTTAAAGTTACAAAGACTTTACACAACAATATTAATAAATATAATATTTATTAGAAATAAAGTTTAACTTCGCAATTTGTTCTTAAAACATTTAGGGTTAGGCTATGGTTGACAATCAGTGTATAACATTTATTGAATTTTCATTATTAGTTTCATTACTTTACACATTTTAAATTTGCTTTTGTATTTATTGATAATGGGTGTAAGGTAGAGTTACCATTACTCATTATTTGTCAATATTAAATGGTTAAAATTTAGAAATGTTGTTGCGCTTTGTAATTTATTTTCATGATATTTAGGTTTGTGCAAAAATGGTAATGCTTTTTCATATGTTCGATTATTATCATTTTTGTGATTGATAAATCAGTGATATAATTGCGGTTTTTACTGCTCTATTTCACCTTAATGACTTTAAACTGTTCAAAATCTTATCTTCCTTTAAATTGCTCAAAGCAATTGTAGAAAAATAAAGAAATTAATCTGTTTCAAAATTAATAAAATTATTAATGGATATGTTTGTTTTAATTTGAGTCATTAATAGATTATTTTTGCTGCATTAAAAATTAGAATTATTTTCTAATAACCATTCTAATTGGTCTAAAATGTGTACAATAAATGACCTATCTTTATGATCAATCCACTTAAGAACAAAAATAAACATTGAGAAACTGGTTTGAAAATTATGTTATGAGCAGCAAGCTTACTGATTGCACTAAAATAATTTACAATACTCTCTAGTCTGGATAGTAATTCCTCTTTATTTGTATTCTTGATCCTCATAATATTATATAAATATTATTACTAGTAACTATTAAAGTACTTGAGTAAATTTTAAGTAAGAGTTGTATTAACTTTATTTATATTCTTATCATTTATTTCTGCAGCTTCTCTTTCATAGTCTAGCACAAATGAAACATACATTATATTTATATGATAAGTTTTACCACTGGCAAAAAATTTATGCCTGGGGTAACATAAAATAGTTTTAAATCTCATTAGCAATTTGGGAACCCCTATCCTATGCAATATAATATATACAAACAATTTTAAAATCTAATTAATAACCATCACAAGTATTTGTATTACAGCATTAATTATTGAATCTGTACAATTATCTGCCATAAATGGAGGAAAGATGTTTTATTAAAGCACATGATAAAAAATTAGGTATATATCTATCCTTGTATTTGTTTCTCTGGAATTATTATTGGCATTCACTAAATGTAACTGTTATAATATCATGGTGCATAACATTTTTAAAAAATGCTTAAAGGTGCTTATTTTCGATTTTCGTTTTTTCAAAGCCCTTAAAGGTGCTTTTTTCATTGAGTGTTTTTAGAAAGTGCTTAATTTTCCCTTTTTGAAAATCAGATATTTGAAAAGGGAAAGTTTATTTTCGCCTTGTATTATGTATAGAATTCATTCAGCCACAATCTATTTCGGGGTACTGCTGATCGTTAGCGTATAAAGGTGCCAATCATTTTACATGTTAGATTAAATACTTGCAAGTACGCAAGTGCGTCTACTAAGCTGGGTTCGGTGAGATTATTGCACTCTCATGTGCAACTTTGCTGCATTTTGCAAGAGATTCTCAATTTCAGGGCTTCATTTTCCACCCTCTGATATTGAATCAAAAAATCTCTTGATCATTTTATAATGGCTAATATAATAAGAAAAAGAGTTCTCTGTCAGAAACTAGTTATTTTATCATGATCATGTGAAATCTTTGAAAATTATTTTATGTTTTGTTGGTTATTAAAAATAAAAAAAATTGAGTGCTTAAAAGGTGCTTATTTTTTGTTGAAAGATTTGACTATGCACCCTGAATATGTGTTTGAGAAAGATTTTATTTTCATAAACAAAAAATTATAAGGAATCAAAAATTAATGTTAATCTAGCTCTACAAATCTACAATGTGGAATTTACAGATTTAATTAATTTTCTATATATTCTAACTACCTATATATTCTTATTCCTTGTTTTTGTCCTTGAAACTTTTTTTTAGTTCTTAAATTTTTTTACAAATTTCAAGGTTCTCTTATTTCTATCATCATGCAAAATTATTTTCTGCTGTTAAGAAGATGTAAGTTAAAATTTGTATGTTTATTTTTCCATTCAATTACAAGCTTTTTGATGCCAAATTTTTACTTAAAATCAGAAATTCTAAAAGTTAATGGCATTTTCTTTTTACCTTCCATTTTAATAATCCAATTTATTGAAATAAAAGTATATTTTTGATATTTAAAACAGTTAATTTTAATAGGAAAAATTTGGAAGCCGAAAGAAGTACAGAAACCAAAATCTGATGATCTGCAAATTGAACTTGATCTAGATGATGAATATGAACAAGCATTGACTGGTGCTGATGAAGCTGAATTGGTGGATTTAGCTGGTATGCAATACAGATTGTATTATTTCGTTCAAAATCATTTCTGTTGCAATTAGCAATGAATATATAGGAAATTATCAATTTGTCCTATTAGATTACATTATGACACTATACTCATGGATTGTTCAAACATTTTGAGTAATGAAACTATATTTTACTCACCTGTTTCAAATTATTATTGTGTGGCATTGTAATGTTAATTTTATATCTCATGATAGAATGCTAAATTTTTATCATATACAATTTATTTTCACAAAATTCTTATCACAATTTATAGGTACTTAAAGTAAAGTGATCCTAAAATTAACAGTTTTAACATTTTGAATCATTCTTAAAATTTAAGTTTCATAATGTAAATTTTAATTGATTATTTGCACTTCAGAACCTCCCATACCCACACATGTTACCTATGACATCAGTGCTAACTAATCTTTATCAGCAAAATGGCGTATTAAAGTTGAGCTAAGTTTATCTAGATAAGTTCAGAGATGATTGTACTCCATAAAAAATCCAGATTTCCGAAATTTTCGCTAACCGCGATGCAGGAATCCAAGGTCCAGAAGTTTCAAGAAATCATCGATCACGTTTATGTATAAAAATTCATGCATATTTTAATTACAAATATTAGAACTAGAATTATACTTGGCATCTCGTTCATTTGTAAATATTTTTTCTGGTAGAATACTAAATGTGGTTAGAGATAAAAATAAACTTATACTTAATGATTCATTTAAATTATGCTACATATAATTTATTTAGAATTTCATGTTTTGAAAATATCAATGTTTTAAATTTATAAAGACATTTATTTTTTGAAATGCGTCATTAATGATTTTACTCAAGAAATTTTCAGGATTTTTGAGTTGGGCTCACAGAAGTTAGTAATGTTAATTAAAGTTAAGAATGTAAGTAGAATGTAGTTAGAATGTGTTAGATAGAATGTTAGTTAGAATGTAAGTTAGAATGTTAATTAAGTACAGAACCATATCACACATCAAATTAGTTGAAATGTAATTCTTTATCGTTTACTTCTTTTGTTTAAATTAGATTTATTATTTTTTTATGTATTTTATTGTAACTGTGATATATTTTTGTTTTGTGTACCTAACAACTTTGGTGCATAATTAGTTTATGTTCCATGTGGCTTCATGCCTGTCTTTGTGTTAAGTCTGTGTGTAAATATATGGCGAGTGAATTGAAATTTTTGAGAAAGAATCTTAGTGAAAGAATTTAAAGTGTGTTTTTTAAGAGAACTGATACTTGATAGGCCTGGCTTACTCGAAATACACTGGTTATCATAAATTAAGGAAAAATCACAAAAATAGCGATAACTCTTTCAAAAGTAAGCCAAACCGTGCAAAATTTGCATATGTTGTCCACTAAGAGTAGCTGAGTAAAATTGCAATATGCAAATTAGTGGCGCTGCACTCGGCTTACGTCATCTGCCTGGAGCATAAAAGTCCAAGTTTGAGAGAAAGCACACAAATTTTACTGTGATTGCGACATTGAAAATCTGAGNAATTTGATTCTCAGACATGAATTTCTTGACAATTTTGGACGTATGGCAAGGAGCTAAATCCTGTTGAAAAATCCCTGTTCCATCAGGGTATCGTTTCTTCAACTCTGGAACAACTTTTTTACCCAGAATAGTAATGTACTGCTCAGAACGCATCATACCATCAATAGGCTACAAAGGTCCAACCCCCATTGTAACCGAAACAAAACAACCCCAAAACATCTTCTTTAAAAAACACCCAAAAAAAAGTTTGTTTCAATTAATTTGCCCAAGGGTGTATCTAATGAAAGAATGAAATTTTTGGGAAGGAATTTATAGTGTTTTTTTTTTTAAGAGAATTGATACTTGACTGGATTGGCTTGCTCAAAATAGAAGGGAAAGAACTGTTGCTAACTTAAACAAATGCCTTGTTTTTAACAACCAATCAGGATCAAGATACCCACACTATGTCACTTGCAGGCATCCCATTCTAGATTTTAATAGTTATAATTCAAAATAAGCTTTTAAAGGCAACATATTAGTAAAAGAAAGGCTTCTCAGTTTCACATTATTACAACTTGTAAACTTTCACTATTATTCTTTTTTTTTTTTTTTTTTTNCATTAGAGCAAAAATTATTCATCGTGGCCTTTTATTTTTTTTTTTTTTTTTTTTTTAAATCTATGTTTCACAAAATGGATTCACAATGAATGAATGTATTTTCATTAACATCTAATTATCATTATTTTTAAATAACATTACATTTTATAAAAATTTAAAGTAAAGTTAAGTAGGCTCTTCTTTTATTCTTAGGCTTACCTTTTGTGGATATTTTAGAATTATTTAATGTTATTTTTCAAGACTGATGTTACTTGAGCATTATATTATGCTAAATTGACCGTTTTCTTTTGGCGCTTTGCATTGTGAAGCCTGTTGTCTAGTCCAGCTGTTGTACCACGTGTAAGCAAAAGGTTGAGTTTCAGATTAAACCCTATACCAAACTCTAATGAGTTTTACACACTTCGAACAAAATTTCATTAAAATTGGTTCAGTGGTCTTAGAAATAATTTATGTATTCTATCAATTTTTGTAATTGTGAACACCAGTCCCAATTCTTTTACATAGTGTCCAATTTCTTTTACATAAATGTAATAATTATTTTTTACTTGTTAAAAGTTATTGCAGATAAGCTTTTAGCCTTATTCAGTGTTTCCATTTTATCTTAATTATTTTTTTTTAATTCAGAAAGGCATTCTAAAAAGTTGTTACAAAATAGTTAAGTTAATAAAGAAATAGTTAATCTCCTAAAATGCAGTTTCAAAAAAATTTAAAAATTTTTGTAACAATTTTCTGTAATAGCAATTTATACTGTTTTATGACCTTTTTACTCCATTTGCCCCTGATCATTAAACTGCTCTATTTCTCACCTATTTTTTTTTTCTCTATGCTGTAAATTTACATTTTCAAATAAGGGAAATTTACAACAACAAGAAAAAAAATTTGTTTTGTGACCTCTATACTACACTTGCTCCTAATAATTAAACAACCATATTTCTCATTTCTTCTCTTTTTTTTATAGCTATTTTGGGATTGCACAGTATGTTGAATCAAGATCAGTTTCATTCTTCCATCTTGAACAAAGGACAGAAAATTGGTGATCGATTTGAAAGTATGCATTAATCTGTTTTCATATACAATTAAAATGAATAATAATATAAATTACAAATTATCTGTAACTTCATAATAAATTATATTTGTTTTAAATCTTTAATTACAAAATCACTACATTTTAGTAGTACTATATTTTAAAATCTTTATTTAATTTGAATGACACATTAAATTAGTAGATAATTTAAAAATGTACCAGTATAATATTTTTTTTTACCTATACACATTGTGTCTACTTTATTTTGTTTTATAACTTCATAAATTGTTTAGATTTCTAATTACAATATGGATCTGCATAATGTTTAAAACCTTTCATTTAGTTAAGTTGGAAAACGTTGAAAACTTTGTGTATTCTTTTTTTTCTTTCTTGTGTGTGCAAATCAATTTACTTGGTGTTATATAAGTGTGGATTAGCTTGTTCTGCATTGTATTAAAAATTTGTACAGTAAATTAAAAATGTTGGTTTAATTATGACATCAATACAATTTTCCTAAAACAATATTTTAAATGTATTGTTTAATTAATAAAACTCTGAATTGGTTGTCAATATTTAGTTTGCAATGTTTTTTTTTTTAATTTATTGTTTTTGTATCGATGATAGGCTTTGTGTTTGCTTGACATGAAAATTTCATCATAAATTTAGTTTTTTATTTTAATTACAATATTAATTAGCAAACAATTTGATGCTTCCCATTCAGTTAGTCTAAGACATAAAACTTATTTAAAATATTAAATTACAAGTTTGGTCACGTAACTAATTTAAAACAAATTTTAAAAAGACATTTTTGTGTTTGCTCAATTTTGCACAGTTACTTCGTTGAAAGGTAGTTTCAAATTCATATATATAAAAGTTATTTTTTTAATCAAAGTTATATTTATATATTATTTATTAATNACTTCATAAATTTAGTTTTTATAATTTCTAATTGCAATATAAATCTACATAATATTTAAAAACTGTCATTTAGTTAATCTGGAACATTAATTTCATAGAAAACTTTATGTATTCTTTTTTTTCTTCTTGTTTGTGTGCAAATTAATCATTTGCTTGGTGTTATGGAAATGTGCATTAGCTTGTTCTACATTGTGATAAAAACTTGTATTCATAAACATTTTTGTGATGGCTTAGCAACTTTCTCCCGAATTAAATTTATTTATGTTTAATTATGACATCAATACAATTTTCCCTGAACAATATTTTAACAGTATTGCTTAATTAATAATTAACTTTGAATTGATTGTCAATTTTTAGTTTGCAGTAATTTTTTTTTATCTATAGACTTTGTGTTTGCTTGACATGGACATTTCCTCATATAATTAATTTTCATCATTTTAATTTTTAATTACAATATTAATTAGCAAAAAAACTATACTTGCTATTTAATTAGTCTGACACATTAAACTTGTTTAAAATATTAAATTACAAGCTTGGTTACATAACTAATTTGAGGCAAATATTAAAATTATTTCCAATTTATAAATGCTTATTAAGTTTATGTTTAGTTACAATTGTTTTTTTATCGCTTGAAACTTTTGTATTTCCTCATTGTTGCATTGTAGTTTTTTTATAAAATCGGACATTTTTGCGTTTGCTCGATCAGTCATTGTTACTTCACAGAGATGTAGTTTCAAATTTTTATAAAAGTCCTCATAAATGATTAATTACATTAGCAATCTGCATGATATTTAAAAAAGTTTTTAATTATTCTCTGAACATAAAGTCTCTAGAAAACTTAAGCCATTTATCCCTTCTTAAATAACTGTATTTTAACTTGTTTTAAGGTATTGTACATGCCACTAAACAAAAGGTGCTGCCACTGGAACCAGACAACGATACTGATGTTGATAAAACTCTTCAACAAGTTATTGATAATGCCTCCTCTTTAAAAACTCTCAACTGGAATAATATAAGAGTAAGTTGGGTTTATTTTGATCAAATTGTGTATATCATTAGTTTTTTTAATTAATTTTTTTTTCTAATTAATTGATAGTTTTAAAAAAGTTTTTTTTTTAAATTCTTTTTCAGAACATATCCAGAGAAAAAATGAGAAGGCTCTTTGAAGGCTTGAAAACCAATACACACTTGGAGTATTTAAGCTTGGCCAATGTTGATTTATATGATGCTTCTGCTGAAGTAAAATATATATTTTTTAACTTTAACATTTCTATTATACTCTGTTGTAGATTAATTTGCTATGTTATTGTTATGAAATTTATTTATAATAGTCTGTTCCATTGAATTTGGTTAAAAATTAAAATTTATATAACTGTTACAATTTCTTATTCATCGTCATAATGATTGATTTTTTTTTTTTAAATTTCCAATGCCCACTTGTATTAACATTTCGTCAATTCAAGCATTTACAGGGTAAATTCGTTACCCACTCTTTTAAAGGCACCATATTAGGTGGGCCAACGTTGCTCCCATAGTAAGGACAGATAGTGCAGCGAATGAAAGAACAATCCATGCCTTGCCAGGGATTCGAACCCAGAACCTTTCTGATGCAAGGGCAGTTCCCTGACCCCCTACACCAGGGATGGCGAACCAATGGCACGCGATACAATATTTTGGGCGCGTCACGGATCACAATTGTTATTGCACTATGAATTTTTATTACACAAATGTTATTACACTATGAAGCATATGTAATAATTAAATTAAAATTCACAAAAATCAAACAAAGTAATAAGCAGTTGTTAATAAAAAAATTAACAATTAATACTAAAAAAAAACAATTAATAGCCATAAAAAACAAGCTAACAATAAATAACTAGCAAAAAAAATCAACAGTCCTGCTTAAACTAATATCTTACAACCTAATATAAGTTATTTGTCATCTAATCTGCAACAACAGAAGACCCATTGATGTTGCTTAAAGTTGAATTACGCCTATAACTGAGACATTGCAAAATGAAATTTTTTTTCAATGTAAATAAAGAGTTTTAAGTTGATAGTATTTAGTATTATTATTTTCCTGATAATCATGAAGTCAAAGTTATTTGACGGCACGTCTGTGACTTCATTAAAAAAATTTTTTAGAAAAAATGGCACGTTGGTGTATAAAGGTTCGCCACCCCTGCCCTACACAGTCCGGTCTGTCGTTATGATAAATCATTATATTCACGTAAACTGAAAATGAACATGACAGCATAGAAATTTGACGGGAATATTACACATAAGGGGTTCATTGGATTCTGCTGAATAATCATTCACTATTAAAGATCCCTCTCACTTTTACCATTAATTATCGAAAGTTCTTAAATTTAATCATATTTTCTGAAATAGGATTGTTCTGTTTTTAGTCTTCATAAATGATAAATTATGTATCATGATTTATACATTTACTAATCCCACATCATGATTGAACATTAGTGATTTATGGATTGCACTTCGCAATTAGTGTTATGGTCTACCTATATTGTAGCTACTAGTTGTCTCTAATTCTCTTACAAGATTTAAAAATTTACTGAAAAATTTTTAATTTACGTAAACAGTTTGTTTTGAAACATTATGCTGATTTCAAACTTTATTGTTTAGTGTATAGTTTTTTATTTATGCTTTTACAAATCCAACTTCAGGAAATCTTAATGTTTCTGAAACTTTTATTTTCTGTTAATCTTTCGAGGTATCAGAAAAAAAGTGTTTTAATGTTGCTATACTTTATTTGTAGGTGTTGGTTGAGGCATTAAAACAAAACAAAAATCTAATATCTCTGAATGTGGAATCAAATTATTTGTCTGGCAGTATGATTCGTGATCTGCTCGATGCCATATTGACAAATCAGACTGTTTTAGAATTCCGAGCATCAAATCAGGTGAGTTTTTTTTTTTCAACTGTAATTTTTAAAAAAATTATAATTTTAAAGGTTTTAGTTGTCACATAAATCACATATGCCACAATTTCTCGATTTGCATTTTGACATCAACTTGTTCTTTAGTATTATTTCGATAAAAATACTTTGCATGTTTCTTGAACTTTTACTACATTACCTCATAATACACAGTAATGTTTTATTGCTTTCACAGAAAAGATGATTTTCTCCAAAATAGCTCTTAATAGATTCTCTCTTGAAAAATGTGAAATTATGTCTTTATACTGCCACAAATATGCTGCTTTCTACTTTTAAATTAATTGTTATTGATTAGTTTACTTATAAAAATTTTCTCTCTAACATTCTCTAGGGATGTTATCATCTTCGGATAAATATTGGTTTCATAAACTTTAATAATCTTTTCACTTACTTTTATAATTTTTTCATAATTTATTTATACATCAGGTATGATTTATATCACTGTTTAATTTTATTACTTTAATTAATTAGTATTGTAAATTTCTTAAATCTTGTTTTCCATGCAATGTAAACTGCATTAGAATTTTATGCGGTAAGTAAATTTTACTCCTCAAGATAGTAAACTGAATTTCTTTTTTACAATAAAAGTGCAGTACTAATTAGAAACGTGATATTAATATTAGCTACATTTTTTGTATAATTTCTGCAGCGAAATGTTGTCTATGATCCTTGATACAATACAAGGTAGAGAAGATAAACAAGATTCATTTCGATATTTGTTTAGCTACATTATACACTATTTATTGCAAATATCTCAATATTTTTACATTGATTAGGTAAGATTTCTAAATAATCTAACTTTGGTCTGAAGAGTTCTAGGCAAAATGGCCTAAACTTTGCAAACTCTATTTTCTTGCAATCTGAGTCTTGCTACAGGGATTTCAGACTAGCAGACCAACTATGATTTGAAATGCTGATAAATATTGTAAAATTGAAAGAATTTATCAGGTTTACAATTGATTTCTTATTCAGAAACTGCTTTTTTACTCGAGGGATCCTTTGTTCAAAACTGGTTGCTCAATCAAAATAATAACATTTAATATGGACTACTTTCCCTTGGAAAAACCACAGTCATTGTTAAAACCTTAGTGCAAATAATTATTTTTTACTTTAGAGCCCAGTTACACTTGGCAATAAAATAGAAATGGAGATCACAAAGCTCATTGAAGAGAACAAGACATTGTTGAGACTTGGATTGTGTTTCGATGTCCCCGATGCTCGAGTTAGAATTACTGATCACCTACAAAAGAACAATGATCGAAGTAAGTTATTAATGAAAAACTTAATTGATAGGTTTCGTCACAAAATATATACAGTTGAACCTCAATCTATCATTCCTTCATCTTTTGTTTTCCCATATGTAACGTCTCATTTTAACGATCCGCACCTGTACACCTGTGGGAAGCACAAAACCCATTATAATATATTGGTACAATTATAATGATAGAAACCCTAATTCTGGCTTCAGTTTTGTGCTGCCATCTATTGAACAGAATTAGTACATTTGTTTTGAACATTTAAAAGCCTTGTGTGAGATTTGTTCTGCTTTGATCTCTTACCTGAACACAGATACAGAATGTGATCTACCTTTGAGCATTTCAACATGTTTCTTATTTTATCATGCTACATAATCACCATTAAATTTAATTTTCTTTGACTGTAAATGGTTCCTTGGGAAGTAAACTTCCCACCCTTGAAATTTATATTCAACAAAATAAAGTAGGTTTTCATTTGCTAATAAAATATTAAAAAAATTCGGAGAATAGCATATGGGCGAAAGCAAAATAAATTAGAAGTAAAATAAATGACATATAAAAGAGTTAATGTGAAGTTATTTACTAATTTTTGTAAATTTATATGTTGTATCAAATAAAACTGAAGTTCTATTTTCCTAAGTTTTTCATGTTTATAGTAATAGTTTTTTTTTCAGTAATTCTAATCATAATTAATTTAAAGGTAATGTAACTAACATTACATTATTTCAATGCAATTAAAATATTTTTTGAAATATTTGTATTTTCTAACCTGTTCATCTATTGGTAAAAAAATCTATTCTTTTATTAAAAGTTTAAAAATGTTACTATAAAGTTATATAGTTGTAGGTTATTCAAAACCCACACTTTTCATCTGCTTTCTACAAAAAATTTGATTAGAAATTCTTGCATTGCATTTCAAGATATAATGATCATAATGTTTCTAAAATTAACGGATTCTTTATCAACTACCAGGGTGCGTAGCCAAATCTTTGAATCAAAAATAAGCACTTTTTAAAAACTTTTCAAGCACTATTATCACTAAGTTACAAAAGTTAAATTAAAAATAATGTAACTCTAGTGAAAAATATCAGAAAGTCTTTTTTTGAAATGATAATAATATTTGTTTTCTTGGAAAGGTGTGTCGTTTATGAAAGAGCAAAATCATTGATCTGTCTGGGTTTTTTTAAGAGGTACCTATCTTGTGAAAATTTAGACATAATTAGTGCAAATAAAAAATTATATTTAAAAAATCAACACAAAAATATGGTAAAGGAAGAAAATATTTTCAAAAATTGTCACTACAAATAAATATCATTTATGACTTATTTCTATATATTTTTCCCTATATACTCAAAAATAATTTTGGTATTGTAAAATTTTGGGCTAAAAATTTTATCTAAATTACAAAAAGCATAAATCTGTAAAAAATCATTGTCCACAGTAAAATTTCAACTTGAATTTAGTAAAAACATGCATTTAACAGTACTAATACTAAAAGTTATTCTAATTATGAGAACATTTTCCTCTGGGTCATACAGAAAAAAGTTTCACAGAGAAAAAAATNAATAATTTATATTATATAATACATGTAATAAATTTATATTTTATTATATATTATAAAATTTATAATATACTTTTAACTCCTAAGATATCAAATATAATTAACTCCAAGATATTGAACTAAATTTCTTTTTTAGAATCTAATTGCAGTGCTAATTAGAAACATGATAATAATATGATTGTAAAATAGCTACATTAGCATATTTTTTATATACTTTCTGCAACGAAGTGTTGTCTATGATCCTTGATGCAATGTGAGGTAGACAAAAAGATTAATATTGATATTTGTATAGCTACATTTGTGACATATTATTATAGGCTATTGCAAATATCTCAATATTTTTGCATTGATTAAATGAAAATTCTAAATAATCTAACTTTGGTCTGAAGAGTTCTAGACAAAATGACCAAAACTTTACCAACTCTGTTTTCCTGCAATTCAAGTCTTGTAACAGGGGCCTCAGACAAGCAGACCAACTATGATTTCAAATGCTGATGAACAGTGTAATATTTAAATAATTTATCAGGTTTACAGATTATTTTTTTATTCAAAAACGACCTAGAAATATATTTTTTACTTGAGGAATCCTTTGTTCAAAACTGGTTACTCAATTAAAATAATAGAATTTAATAAGAAATATTTTCTTTTGGAAAAACCACTGTTATTGTTGAAACCTTAGTGCAAATAATTATTATTTTATATTACAGAGCCCGGTTACACTTGGCAATAAAATAGAAATGGAGATCACAAAGCTCATTGAGGAGAACAAGACACTGTTGAGACTTGGATTGTGTTTTGATGTCCCTGACGCTCGAGTTAGAATTACTGATCACCTTCAAAAGAACAATGATCGAAGTAAGTTATAAATGAAAAACTTAATTTATAGGTTTTATTACAAAATATATAAAGTTGAACCTCAATCCATCATTCCTTCATCTTTTGTTTTCCCGTATGTATCATCTCGTTTTAACGGTCCCATCGCAAATACTTTCTTTTAATGTTAATAATGCCAGTTTAGATAGTTTATAAAACTAGCAGATTTTTGCATCCATCATTCAGAAATTCTACCCATATTTATAAAAAAATAATTTTATTTTGAGAAGAAAAACAGTAATTCCTAATGCTGATGATAAATAAGAAAGTAAAGATTTGTCAGAGTATTAATAAAATGCCTCAAGCTATATGTTTATGTATCTGTTGATAAAAATGTTGAATGTTGTAAAATATGTTGTCAATTCAAAAGAATGGTGGTAAAACTAAACCATAACCTGTGCTCTTTGTAGAAGGCCATGAAGCTTTTAAAAAAATTAGGAATTTTCTGTATTCACACAAATTTAAAGAAATTTGTTATTTGTACCAAAATTTTTTTGTTTGCGCTGAGATGCAAAGAGGCTCTTCAAATCAAAATTTTCTAAATAAATTTATGTACTTATTCATCATTTCTGCACATAAATATTTTTGCAACGAAAACGTAACTTTTCCAGTTTAATTTTTTTTTTTTACTTATTGCAAAATTACTTATCAATTCCATTGCTTTTTTATTACTTTTCATACATTATCAAGTCATATGATATTTTATGTTGACTCACTTTTGTCCTTGTCAATCAGTCCCAATGACAGGTTCCATGTGAAACGATTGTTCAAGGTTCTACTGTATATATATATTTTTTTGATACCAATTTAAAAAATCATCTCTGAATTAAATGTGTTTGATTCCCGTTTCTGCATAGAGGTAAAAAAAAATTATGTGTCATTCCCTAATTTGGAGAAATTTCTAATGAAAACTTATTAAACAACTGAATGTGTTAAGCTAATTTCTTCACTCTAAAGATTGTTGCTTGTTTAATGTCAGTGTAATATTTAATTTTATATTTCAATATTACTATGAGAAAAAAATTATGCAAATAGGGAATTCTGTAAGTCACTTTTTTTTCTCTTTGATTAGTTTCTTAATTTTTTCCAACCCAATTTTGTTATCTGCCTAAGGATGTTGAAAAACTACTACTTAAAAATCTATGATACTATTCAAAACCTACTTTGCATTCTTGAATTGATTAAGGTTGAATTCTAGTGATTGAATTTTTCAAAGTGCCTTGATGCTTTTTTGAGCCTTAGGATGATTACTTCCAACCTACATGATCTTACAAAATACACCTTTGGGAAGCACAAAACCCATATATATTATATAATGATAGGAACACGAATTCTGACTTCAGTTTTATGCTGCCATCTATTGAACAGAATTGTTTTGAACATTTAAAAGCCTTGTGTGTTCTGCTTTGACACCTGAACAGAATGTGATCTACCTTTGAGCATTGCAACATTATTCTCATCTTAAATAATCACCATTAAATTTAATTTTCTTTATGACTGTAAATGGTTCCTTGAGAAGTAAACTTCCCACCCCTGAAATTTAAATGCAAACATAAAACTCAGCAAAATAAAATTGGTTTAATTGTTAATAAAATATATAAAAAAAACACTTATAACCGCATATGAAAGCCAAATAAATCAAAAGTAACAAACAAACATACAAAAGAGTTAATGTGGAGTTATTTACTAACTTTTGTAAATTTATATGCTGTATCAAATAAAACTGAAGTTTTATTGTTCAGTTTTCCTAAGTCTTTCATGTTTATAGTTTTTTTTCCAGTAATCCTAATTAATTTAAACGTAATGTAACTAACATTACATTATTTCAATACATTTAAAATATTTATATTTTATAACCTGTCCCTCTATTGGTAAAAAAATTCGATCCTTTTATTAAAAGCTTAAAAATGTATTGTATGTTACTTGATGTTATTGTTATTCAGAAACCACAATTTTCATTTGCTTTCATTAAAAATCTTATTAGAATTTTTTTTTAAATTTAATTTAATAGTCGAAAAAAATTTTGAATTGTAAGTTATTCAAATTTTTTACATAATTTTAAAGAAAACAATTTAAAAAAGCAAAATAGAAAGAACAAAATGGGACAAATAGTTCCTTAGAAATCAAATTTTTAGAATATTTGATATTATCTCCTAGAATGTGAAGATCCTATTCATTTGATCAAAGGTATGTAAGATGGCCCGTTTATTTCTTTACACACATAACATAAAGTTTTTATATCATAATTAAAATACATTGAATATTAAGTTTGTACTTTATCTTGTGCAGATTTTTTTGTTGCTAATTAAAATTTCTATTTTAGTTCGCTTGCGAAGAATCGGAATGGAGCCTTAAGACTGTAATGCAAAACACAGTATATGACAATAATGGAAATCTTTTAGAATTAGAACCCACTCTATAAACAAGCCTGCTTTTATATCCGTTTTTCGTCACTTTAGTGCAGTAGCTTGTCGCCAATGAATTGAAATTTGGTTTTATGAACTCCTGTTTGTGTGTTCCTTCATATATTGTGAATATTTCTATTTTTTGTAAGAATTTGTCTTTCATGAAAAGAAATTTCTTCTGACCTATTATTTCGTCAATCTCAAACATTACTAGGATCCTGAATCTGCGATTCGAATCACCACAAAGTGACTTGAATTTTTATTTGGTGATTTGTATTTTACGATTTGAGTTACTTGATTGGTAATAAAGTTCTGAATCTGTAATCTTTTAATTCAAACCCATGATTAAAATGTTCAAAATTTGTTTGATTTGAATGACCTGAGGGAACGTTTGTTTGATTTAAATCACTTGAGTGATTTATGTCACCCAAGTTTATTTATTGAATTAGTGATTTGAATCACCAAGTGTTGAATAAACTTGTTTACATTTAATTGAATAGATTTGATTTACACTTATATTTTGGATTCAAATCACTAATTACCTTGGATGGTGATTTAAATAACTGATTTTGCCCAACTCTATTACATTTAATGCAAGCTTAAATATTGCATAGATGTGTATATTGAAGATGCGTGTGTTTTTTTTCCCATGTCTTTTTATGTCAATGTTTTACCTGATATATGATTATGTGGGTATGTTGTAATTTAATCTTAATTTTAATCAAATGCTTATTTTAGTATTAATTGCTGGAAAATATAAAACAAAATTTTAGAGTTAGACTCAATTTTTATTTATAACAATTCTTCATAATTTTTTTAGGCATCAATTAAACTTCTGAAATGAGTGATATAATTTAAATTTAATATTTTTAAAATAATTATAATAATTAAGTTGATATTATGTTTTAAAGTACTAATTTTTATATTAAGAACTACCAGTGTATTTTTACATTATTGTAAAATATGGGTAAAGTATTTTATATTTTAAAAAAAGATATGTTGAAATTTAAAGAATCGTGCAAGATTTTGCCATATTATTTTTCTTTTATATGTGTATTGAAAAAAAAATGCATTAAGTACCATTCTATGTTAGCATCTATATTTATAAATGAATTCTTCTAATTGTTCTTTTAGGTAGTTTTACTTAAATTTTTTTTTCATGAAATATTTATCTGTTCAATGTATTTAGATTTTGCCTGAATTTTGGTGCTAAAAGCTGTACAGTTGTACAATTTTAAGATTTTTTTTTATTAAAATAAGTCTATATAGTTTTCTTTGAGTTAGTTTAATTTTTGATTGTATAAATTTCAGACATTAGTAAAGAATTTCTTTCATGTATTAGCAGTTTATTTATCAATAGATTCTTTTTTCTTCCAATTTGTCAGTTAAATCTAATCACAATTACTTAAAGATTTTTAGTTTATTATGATGACCTATAAACTGTCATATTATAGATGTATGGAAGTAATTGTTCAATTTCTTAATTACAATATTTCATTGAAAATTCTTGCACTATTTTTGTTCACTTATCACAACTCATCATCTCTTAAAATATTACCGGTGAAATTAAATTATTTTCAGAAAGAAAGCATTTTTTTCTCCTTTTAATTGTGTTTATCATTTTTAAGCCATGACCTTCGAATAAAATGTGCTTCATTTTTACATTTGCTATTTTTTGTTTTTGCATTTCTTTAACAAAAATATTTAGTTTAACTATGAAAGAGCCTTTATTTTTGAAAGTGATAAGAAAAAAATCTTGATTTTTCAAAAATCTTTAGTGTTCAGATGAATTTTAGTGTTCGGAATTTAAAAATATTGGCAAAGGTTAATGTTTTTAATACTAAATTATAATTAAACATTAAAATATAATAATAGTTATTAAATTCATAATAAAGAAAAAACTATTATTTAACTTAAAATGTACTTTCAATAATATTTTGTAAAAAATAAAAACCAGGAGAAAGTTATGCCCATGTTTTTAAACAAATTGGCTTTTCTAAAATGAAATATTTGATACAAAAATATAAAAATGATTTTGTTATATCATTTTTAGCTAAAATTATTTTGATTACTTTAGCAACAAATCCTGCTTTCTTGAATGCATGAATATAAGAAGATGATCTATCTATATTTTAGTAAAAATACTATTAACTATTTTTTTCTTCTAAAAGTGAACTTTTTCCATTTTCAAAAATATAATGGCTCTCTTATGTAAATTCTGTAGATCAAAATCAGAGGTCAATACTTAAATGCTTTTTCCTTTGTGAATGTTTACCAGTTTAATCAACTGGCTATGTATAGTTAAATTATGATTGATTGATTGTAACTGACTCCCTGTACATTGATGAGCTGCTGTTTTGTACTCACTGCCAGTCAAACAATTTTTAGCTCTCTAAAAAAAAACATTATTTCATTTTATATATTCTAAATGTAAGCTTTTCTTTATCAAAAGCAGAATGTATTATATACCTTTTTTGAAGTTAAAATAAAAAGTATTATGATAAATATTGTGATTATTTTGTATGAAGTTTTTCTTTGCAGTGAAAAGTTCAGTTAGACAAGCCAGTTAAAGGCACCCTACTATCTTTTTTAAACCAATTTATCACCGAAGCTTTATCTCTATTAGAACTGAAGTTGTTGTACTTACAAAAAATATATTTACCTTGGCTCGTCTATACACCTATAGGTCGCCTGTTTCCTTTATTTTTTAATGCAACATCTTGAATTCTGATAATGCGATTCACTTTAAAATTTGCACAAATGTTCTCTTATTATATAGAGCAGAGGTTTCCAACTTACATTAGGCCGGGGGCCACAATTAAAAACACAAATCAAATGGCGGGCCGCCACTTTATCAAAATTTTATGTAAGACTCTTTTATGTTTAAAAGAACATTAAATATTACTGTCAGATTTTTACCAAGTTGTACAAAACAAAAGTATTGAATTACAAATTAAAATAAGAAGTAGATTTTTAAAAATATTTAATTGTTATTAATAATATTTTTAAAAATATTAAATAAATAATAAAAATTCGGGCTACAATAACTTTAATGTGCACCTATGTATTAAACAATTAATGTGCAACAGATATCTAATTGTTAAGATATAAAACTTTAAAAAGGTTGGTATTAAAACTTACATAGTAGCACACAAAATGTTCAATGAGAAAATTGAGGTTTGTCTGCTGCAACCACCAGAGAATAGATATTTACATTTTAAATTTAAAATTTACAAATGTGTGTGTAAATATTTTCGTCCAAAATGAGTGGTTTCAAAAAGTTAAATCGGAGAATTTATTCGAGAAAATTTCAGATACACACATGCTAAATTATATTCACAAAATACAAAAAAAAATGAAATAAAAAAGAGCGACATACACGATTATTTTTGTATTGGAATAAATATTTTCTTGGATGCAAAACCTGAGAAAAAATTTTTTTTGCACCGTTGGTATGATAAATTTCCCAGAAACGAAGAAATTAGGTTTTTATTAACGAGAAAAGTATTTTAAGCCCATACAGAATTTTTACGAAAATTGTCCGCAAAAAAATGACAACTAATATATTTTAGTTCACGGGCCACTAAAAAAGGCTTCGCGGGCCGGATGCGGCCACCGGGCCGCCAGTTGGAAACCATTGATATAGAGAATAGAGGACACTAACTGTTCAAACTATTATTTTATCTTTTACATCCAAATTTAAAATGTCTAACTGTATTTTTGATTGTTTTTGTTGAATGTCTTGCGATATTAGCTGTAATTTCTTTAAAACTAATATTTATTGACAATACATATACACCTGATTATCATAAAATAAGGTAAAATTACAAAAATAGCGATATAAGCCAATTCCAATGAAATTTGAATATGTTTTCAAATAAGAGTTGCTAAATAAAACTGCAATATTTAAATTAGTGGCACTGTAATGGAATAATGCCATCTGAAATAAGCATGAAATTGTGTGTTTGATCACAAGCCTGCAAATTTCACTGTGTGTTTCCGAAATTTGAAATAGCCAATTTGTAATATAAATCTACAGGCATCATTATTGGAAGATTTGAGGCAAGACAAAGTCAGAAGAGGCGAGATGGATAAATGAGAGTCCTTCTGTGGTTCATATACTTTGGTAGCAATTTCTAACCACAGGTTTGACATAGAATCCATTCTCTTTACGCCATGGAAGAGAATGTTTGAGGTGGACATGTCCACTGGAGGGCTATACCCTTCACAGACGAGTCCAGGTTTAGCCTCCAAAGTGATAGTAAGCTTTTATTTTTTTTTTCGAGAGAACCAGAAACCCGGTTGAAAAGTTCCTGAAAAATCTAATTTTAAATAAGTCTAATATTTAGAATTCGATTTCTCAGGAATTATACGACCAAATTTTGCTCAAAATTTGTATTTTGCCATGTAAAAATACATAATTTAAAATGCAGTAAGAAACTGTATATCTTACAATTCAAAATTTTTTCAACTATTATTAAATAAAAAATAGTAAATATTTACTAAGATTAATTTTTTGCATGAAATTATCTTTGGATAAAAGAATTTTATAATTATGTGCAAAAATTTTTCTATTTGCTTCAAAAGTTCTCGAGATATGGCAAAACACTCAAAAGGTAAAATTAACATTATGAGGTTCATATACTTTGGATCACTTTCCTGATCAAACTATGAGGACCCTATTTCCCAGATTGTAGCAAACCCCTATATTTTGGGGGTCAGAAACCTGAATCCGTTGAAACAAATGTATGGTTATTCAGAGAAAGTATGTTTTTGTGCCCGATTTCATAACTTAAAATATCGTCTGCACTATTTAATTAGCATATTTGAGGTCACCCCCTCTTAAGATTGAGTCCTAGAACATGAAGATTCGATCATTAGGATCATAAGTTATTCAAAGCAGTCCGATTTTATTATTTTTTTCTGTACATTACATTAACTACACAAAATACGAATAACTCTTGGTTCGTCACTTTAACGGAGCAAATGAGTTAATCTACAGATTAGTTGGGTAACAAGAACTTTAAAAACTTTTGAGTTTTACAGCGGTAACGTAATTAATATTTCTATTTTAATTAGAAAATAATCTTAAAAAAGAATGTTACGTGAATAGTCGATTCCCAATAAATTATTTGACTTAAATCAAAGAATAGAAGAAAAAAGAATCAACAGAAATTTCGCGGAACATCAGAGAAAATTGAATTACGAAAAATAGAAGTTTTCTAAATGTTTTTTATAAGAAATGGCGCTAAAAGGTTATGAAATGACTTTTTTCTATTTCTTTAACTCAACATAAACCAATTTCTGGTTCCGAGAGACGTGACTTCGAACAATTTTTACAAAAGGGATTATTCAAGCAAGCACTGAAGTAATTAAAAATTCGTCTTCTGAAATCGGCTTTTAGCTCCAGTTTCCTAATCTTAAGGTTTTAAAAAGATTTTTAAATGTTCTTTTGTTGATTTCTATTATGCATGAGTGAATTCTAATTTATTCTAGTACTAGTGTCAGTTGGGAGATAACTTAATTATTGACTAATTTGATTCATATCTTATTAACTCTCTGCTTCTGCGTGAAACTTAGACAGGTCGGCTCGTAATGACAGTCCTTAATTGCAGTTAGTCCATTAAAACGACAATTCACAATATCAGACCGTAATTGTCGTTATAAGCAAATACACATATTTTATTGTTAAAACAACAACGAATAAAGATTAGTTGGGGAAATAGACACATTTACTTCTTTCCCTTTTATTTGGAACAATTATTTTAATTTCAAAAATACTTATCTAGAATAAAGTTCTTTTGTCTACAAAACTCCACTGACTGGGAGTTTTTGCAAGGTGTTCAAGAGCAATTACTACTACGACAGCGCTGTTTAATAATAGAAAACGATATTTTTTTAGAATTTTTTTTTTTTCTTTCCTCTCTTGAAGTCCAATATGGATTAGGATTTGGTGAGTTTATTCTTGAAATGCGGAACCAGAGAGATACAAGGAAATTCTTTTCACTTGCAATTCGAGAAGTGTTTTGTAAGATACCACATTTTAAGAATTCTAATGAAAAAAAGAATTCTAAAAAATATATATATATAAATATAATATCGTTTTCAAATTATAAACCAGCACGATCGCCATAGCAACGCATGCAATTACGATGCGTGCTCTCTATTTGCTCTTGTACTCAAGAGGAAAAAATTAAATGAAGTGTAATAAATTTTGACGTCATCGATAACATTGAATATTGATTTCAATAGAAGGTTTTTAAGAAGAGGCTCTTTTGTAATGAGAAAAAGAAAAAACTTTGCCGGTAGTCGCCCACACACAACTTTATTAACATAGATCAAACATAAAGGTAAAATGAAGTTCGTTTTTTATTTTCTTGTATTGATTCCAGAAATTAGTAAAAATGTCTACTATTTTGCCTTTTCCGTGTAATGTTCACTTAAACAGGAAATAAAAATGTATTTCCCATGTGCATGTAAAAAAATTTATTTCCATGTGTATGTAAAAAAATGTATTTCAATGAAATTCTTCGCAGAATGAAATAAAGAAATATAGGGTTAGAGCGTTGTACCTTGAGACACTTGTCACATTTTAATTTTGAATATTATAGTCAGATTTTTAATATAAAGACAAGTTTTAAACACACAAACGTTTTCTTATTTATTGCATTTTTTTTCCAACTTTAAATTAATTATAAATATTTGGCAGATATTTACAGTTGAAATTACAAATCGTTCCTATATACAACTCCTTGTTGTACTTTGGGACACTAAGTACTGTACCTTGGGGCACTTTTATTTGAACTAGTGGAGTGCACAAGTGTATGCATGCTCAAGACAAACTCCTTGATTAGATGCCCTTGAAAAACAGAGTGCAATAAAAGCAATAACTGCCATAGAAGGGAAAAAAACAAAACAAATTAAAACGAAGAAAAAAAGGGAAAATATATATTTCATGCTATATTTGAGGTTAAATTGGTTGTTAAATTTTATCGTTTCCAACAAAATATTCTGAATTTTTCTTGAATATTCATACAAAAAAATGTATTTACTGACCAAAAACCTTTATTGTTAGATTTGGTAGAAAATCATATTTTATTTCCCGTAAAATATGTTGCATTAACGCTAGTAATCTAATTAAAAATTTGTTAACTACCAACTATTGCCCCATTTCGCTGAATGCTAAGGGCCATTAGCCCCTTCAAATCGCTGCCGAAATCCAAAATTTGAACGAAATTGATTACGTAGTGTTCAAGAAATAAAATTTTGAAATATAAATACTGTAGTTTTTCTTTTTGTGTCCTATTTATTAATATATTAAAATTACCCAAATCACAAAAAATATTATTTAATTTAATTATATTAATTACTATAACTGAAATATATTGATATAAATTAAAATCTTCTATTTGCTAATAAATATAGAATATTTCATTTTATTTCTAGTTCTCTTGTATTTTCCAGATCGTCTGCTTGTAGCGAATTGTTTTAATGGAAAGTACTCGATTGTGGATAGCATGGAAGATAATAGAATTGTTCACTCTTTCGAGCTTCCAGAGAATTCCTTTTAGAAGCAATATCACAAAAGGGATAAAAGTTTCCTAAATGGGATAAAGCCTCTTTTATCAGAGGAATGTAAGACGCTTTTGTATTTCCTGTGTTTATTAAAGGATTAAAATGTAAATAACAAATGAGGGCAAATTTTAAGTAGGAAATAGATGATTAATGCGATTAAATTTTCTTATCTTTTAGAGTAAATTTTATCAAATGCTGTATTTTTAAGGGATAATATTTTGCATTGTCGTTGTTGTTCAACCTTCTAAGACCATTGTCACCCATTTTTAAAGCTAACGACATTTTAGTTCCACAAAACGTTACGGAACTTGATTTGAAAAAATTCACAGTAATATACAGTGCTATAGATTCCCTGTACAGCACTTTGGATGAAAAAAAGAAAATATACTATTATTTAGAAATTCTAGTCTTTTGAAAAGATTTGTTCGATTAAGTTTCATTACCAATAAAAAATTTGGTTTTAACTGTTGAAAAACTGTAAATAAATAGATGTTGCTAGTTTTACAGTAACAAAATTTTATGTTTGAGGAAAGAAATAGAATATTCTATTTTATTTACAGTTAGTTCACTTGCATTTTCCAGATCGTCTGACAGTTCTCTAAGTAGTGAATTGTTTTAATGGCTGGTCTTTGTCGATAATCGAATTGTTCGCTCTTCCTAACTTCCAGAAAATCCCTTTTCGATGCAATAACGCAAAAAGGATCTAAGTTTCTTAATGGGATTAAATAGCTATGAACTTTGCAAAATATTCCTCTTATCAGTGAAATGCCAGACACTTTTTTTTTATTTTCCCGTGTTTTATAAAAGGATTAAAACGTAAATAGCAAATATTAGAAAAAGAGAAAATTCTAAGGTTGAATTCAAAGACAATTGCAAATGAACGCTATCAATTCAATGTTATCAATCAATTCAATTATCAATCAATCAATCTTCCACAATGAATGTTATCAATTACTGTATTCTCATTGAACAGCATTTTGTATGAATTAATTGTTGTAGTACAAAATTATTGGCTTTCATTTTTGAAGTTTAAAAAAATCCTAGGTTTTAGTTTCCTATCAGACGTGTAGAAAAATATACAAAAGTATACCCTACTATAAAAAATAAAAAGAAATTATACTTAATCATAAATTATAGTTTATTGAAAAGATTTGTTCAATAAAATTTTAATACAAATGAGAAATTTGGTTCAAACAGTGAAATAACTGCAAATAAATAGATTTATTAATTCTAGAGTGATAAAAGAAACTCTGGCCGTAATTTAAATTGTATATTTGAGTAAAGAAACAGAATATTCTATTTTAATTAAAGTTAGTTCACTTCCATTTATCATATCGTCTGCCATTTCTTTATGTATGGGGAATTGTTTTTAATGGCTGGCATTTGCTGATAACATTGAAAATAATTGAATTGTTCGCTCTTTCGAACTTTCATAGAATCCCTTTTAGATGCAATAATACAAAAAGGATAAAAGTTTCTTAATGGGATAAAATAGCTTTGAACCTTGCAAAAGCCTCCTTTTATCAGAGAAATGCAAGACGCACTTTTTTTATTTCCTGTGTTTTATAAAAAGGATTAAAATAGAAAGAACAAAGCAAGAAAATTCTTGGTTGAATTCAAAGATTGCTGCAAGCGAATTTTCTTACATTCCACAATGAATGTTATTAATTGCTGTATTCTAATTGAACAGCGTTCTGAATCATTGTTGCAGTGAATGAGTATAGCCTTCCATTTTTTTAAATTTTAGAAAAATTCCATGCTATCATTTTCTGCCAGGAGTGTAAAAAAATAAATTGAAGTATGCTGTACTATAAAAAAAAAAAAGAAAATTTATACTAAATTTAGTCTTTTGAAAAGTTTTGTTCGATAAAATTTTCAATACAAATGAAAGTGTGAGTGATAACTTATTCTGAATGTTAAATAACAGTAAATAAATATATATATTGTTAGTTCTACCGTTGCAACTTAACTCGAACAGTCATTTAAATCCCATATTTGATGAACGAAACAGAATATTCTATTTTATTTAAGTTCTCTTGCATTTTCCAGATATTCTTCATGTAGGGAATTGTTTTTAATCTAAAGTGCTCTATTGTCGAAAGCATTGGAGATAATGGAATTTTCGCCCTTTCCGAACTTCAACAGAATCCCTTTTAGACGCAATGATACAAAAGGGATAAAAGTTTCCTAAATGGGATAAAAATAGCACATTGCAGAAGACTCCTCTATCAAAGGAATGCAAGACGCTTTTGGATTCCCTGTGCTTTATAAAAGGATTAAAATGTAAATAACAAATATTTTATACCGGAAAAATGTTAAAGTTGAAATGAAAGACTACTGCTATTGAATTTTCCTATCTTCCACAATTATTTTAGAATAATATTCGGTATGAGTTCATAAACGTTATTCTACATTTTCAGGATATTGTCTTCTATTTTAATAATAAAAGAAAGGGGGCTCTTTAAATATTACGAAACATATATTTGTCAGTTTAGGAATCAACTATCCCCTTGTCAGCAAAGAAAATGTCAACCTTGTCAGCAAATCACAACTCAGTTCCCTTGCTACTGTGAGAAAGTGATTCCTCTGGTTTTTACTCTACGGGCTTGACTTTAACTGCTGTAATTTGATTTAAGGGTTAAATTAAAATAAACAGTGTAAATTGTTCAGATAATAAAATTATACGTTTCAATTCTTTTTTAACACTTCTAAAGGATAAAAAAAAGTTCTTTTGAGTTTTTCGATTCTTTTGTGTTTTTTGATTCTTTTGTGTTTTCCAGTTTTTCTTTTGTGTTTTCCTTTCATGTTCAAAACTGTCGACCTCAGAAATTGTTGAGCCCTTTGGCGCAGTTAAGACACCGGTGTTCCTTACATATTTTAATCTGACGCTCTAATTAGAAGTACAAAAAATATTTTGATATTTTTCTATTATAAGAAACAAGTCTAATTGTTAATAAAAAAATTGTTAGATTATAAGAATTATATTTATACTAAAATATAAAATTCAAAAAAAGTAATTCCAAAAAAAATTTTTTTTCATTCATATTCAAAAATTTATCAATAATTTAGACGAACAGATTAAATTACAGAAATTCCAAAGTCGAATTTCTATTTCTCTTAGATCTGAATAACTGCAAATAAGTGCAAATTTGAAAAATTATTGTTTGGAAGTGTTCATACTTGCCAAGAAACATTATCTGCGCCTATCTGTCCCTATTTAACAAGCATCAATTATTAAAATTCTAAATTTAAAATTTTTCACTTATTTTGCCCTAAAGCAATACAAAAGAATGAAAAAAAGTATGAAAAATGTGTTTAATTAAAATTTTGAGTCCAAGGGTTAGAGAAATTTTTTTCCAATTCCCCCATCCCCCCAATTTAAATTTTATTCCAAACTTGCAATTTTCTTATGTGTTATATTTTTGTTATATTTCTTAATTTTTCTTTTTTTTATTTTTAAGAAAATTTTGAAAATAAGGGAATTTTAATTGCTTGCCACTTACCCCACCTGCCATTTTGTCACAAAACTAAGCAAATCACAAACCCCCTCTCGATTTGATACTTACTTGAACGATCCAAGAAATATTTTATACAAATTATAACTTGGAAGCTAATTTACACACTATATATTAGGTTCCTGAAAGTTCCGAATAGGTTTTGCGACTTCCAAAAGAATACTCGAAATTCTTACTTTTGCGGTTTCCAAAACATTTTTGCCAACAGTACTGCGTAATCATTGCACAAAACTGCACGATTTTTGCATTATTCCAAGTGA